CCACAATCCTGTGCGTTCCATTCCGTGACGGTTGAGCTAAAAAAATAAAGATGGCGTCTGAAAGTTGCGGTTGGTGGTCAGTTTGTGTGTAAATGTACAATTCTGATCAACGTTTACCACTTTTGATGTCATTTCTAGCGAGAAATTAATATTGCAGTAATGAAATATTCACTTAGTTATCACCAAAGCTCTCTATAGTTTGCTGTGTATTCATTAAACCGTTACTCTGCCTCAGAAGCCTGTCCGAAATCAGTTTCATGAGGTGCCTTCGTGCAAAAACGCTGCCTGCAAAGTCATTGCCTCATACAGCAGCGAGGCAGCAAGTCAGCCTTCGTTTTTTCGGTTATTTAAGTGCATCATCCGGGTATTTAAAGTGCACTTTTTCTTTGTGAAATTTTCAGTGTGAGCACACTACTCGCACTATTTATACTACAAAACGTCATAGAATAGAGCATAAGTGCGTGATTTGAGATGCACCTTTTGTTACAGAAAGAATGTTACAACAGAAAAGAAAAGAATGAGCCATTTTAAAGTACACTTTGTAAAGTACACATCGCTTAAAAGTACTTATTACAGAAATAGTGTACTTTAAAAGAATCTACACAAGTGCAAAACTGAATAATGTTTTCAGACACTTAATTGCATGTTATTTGCAATAAAAGAAAATGTGTTATAGTTTAAATTTAAATTAAATGCAATTAGTTGAACTTAAGGCTAATTATGAAATTACTTATATTGTCTTTGAAAAATGGTTAAAATATTACTGCCAAATGCACTTACAAGCATGTACGGTAATGGTATGGGAGCTTCAGCATCCACCCCAAACATACTACTTGATATAGTTTAATTCAAGTGTATGTGTGTATTTTTAAACAGAAACGACCCACTGTAACTGCTTTAAAAAAAGTTAAATACTGCATATCCAATTTAAAATGAATATAGATGTATACATACATGCATGCAAATCTCAACATATAACATTTCGGCTGTTGTCTGTTTGACCCAGAGTTTGCATTTTAATCCCACAGGAAGCCAAAAAGAAATATGATAAAGAGACGGAGAAGTACTGTACAGTGTTGGAGAAACACCTCAGTCTGTCTGCGAAGAAGAAGGAAGCACACCTTCATGAAGTATGTTCTGCTATTAATGCTGTTTTACTTGAGACTAAAATGGTCTTTTTGCATGCTGTTGCACTTTATAACTAGCAATCATCTGGTTTGATTTCCTATAAAACAGTAAATTGGGGGCAGATGTATTGAAAGGCTTGACTTCATTTGTAATAGCCAAAGCATTTGGTTTACGCTCTGCTATTGTAGACATCATGGACTAAAGGCTACAAAGCCCAGTTTTGATTTCATGGACGTCTGTGTATGTTTTCTGTTTTTCTTCACAAATCTTCCCAGGCGGATAACCAGGTGGACATCGTGAGGCATCACTTCTATGAAGTCTCGCTGGAATATGTTTTCAAAGTGCAGGAAGTTCAGGAGAGGAAAATGTTTGAGTTTGTGGAGCCGGTAAAACTTAATATCATGATATGATATCAGGCCATATCATATCATATCATATCATATCATATCATATCATATCAAATTATAATCTCTTCATTGATGGCTGTTTTCCTCTCTTTTGGATGTAGTTGCTGGCTTTTCTACAGGGTCTGTTTACATATTATCATCATGGGTACGAACTGGCCAAAGACTTCAACCATTTCAAGACAGACCTCACAATCAGCATTCAAAATGTGAGTGCATTTCTTACAAGAGACCCTCATAGATATTGATATTACAAATTAGGAGAGCTGAATTAGTTCATACTCATACTTCAATGCATTAAAGATGCTGCATGTAATTTTTTGATTGTACTAAAGCATAAAACACCAAAATCCATTTGCAGATATTTTGGAAACATGCTAACAATGCTACAATTCTGCTTTCGAAGGCGTCATTCCTTGTCAGATTGTCGGTTTACCCAATAGGATTTTGACACTCCGGGTTGCCAGATGGTGGAAAACACAGCGTACTGCAGCCATAGAAGCGAGCAAACGAACTGGGTCAGAGATCACAGATTCTACCCGACCTAAAAAGCCTCGACATCCATCTAAAAATCCCTATGACCAGAAGCATATAAAAAAAATGGATACATTTTTAGCTTACAGCATAAGGCTCGTCGCCTTCCATTGTCAATTGCGCTTGTTCCTGTGCGTGTCAATCTGGCAACCTGCGCAGTACCTATTTCAACCACTAGCTGTCAATATTACTGCACCTTAAAGTAAATTGCAAGTAAATCATCATCTCTTGTTCTGAGAAGTCCAATCTTTTAGTTCAGGGTGAGTGTATGTTCCCTGGACAGGATAGAATCATGACTCGAACCCGACCCCTGATGGGTGCAGTTTGTCAAAAAGCATTGCAAATAACAACTGCCATAAAACTAGCCAATTCACAATAAGCCTGGTCAATGATCTGTTATATTTAAGCAGAACGGTAGTTGCATGTAAGTATTTTGCAGTGCAGAGTTTTTACAGTGAGTGTCAAATTTTTCACAAGCATTCTCGAAACTTCATATCTTTTGGAACATTCACCTTCTCCTTCTCTGTCTTTGTGGTATTTCAGACGCGGAACCGGTTCGAGAGCACACGTTCAGAGGTGGAATGTTTGATGAAGAAGATGAAGGAAAACCCGCACGAACATAAGAGCATCAGTCCACACACAATAGAAGGTTACCTGTTTGTGCAAGAGAAACGTGAGTTGAAAAGTTTGGAGCTTTTCAGATTTCTAAGACACAACTGATCACACTGACTTGTGGCCACTGTAGAGGTTAGTGTGATTTGTGTGTGTGTGTACCCACAATCCCAAATGGCGAGCCAACACAAAACAGCTCAGCAGTTCCACTACCATGAAGCATTGCAAGTGACGCCACTGAACGTCATTATTTTCCCTGCATTCTCAAACTACTTGTATATTTGTATAAATCAGAATATTTTGCAGTACACCTAAAATGTATTCTATTTCATACATATCACTAACTGTAATTCACTTATTTTATTTCGTAGGCTACTATTTAAATATAAATTAAATGCTTCACTATTCACAGTGCTTCAAGGGTTAAATATGTTTTTTTGTTTTTTTTTGCAAAAAATTATGCAACGTTACTTCTTGCATGTTTTGCAGCAGTTTCAAAAGCTATGTTCACACTGGAGGAAAATGTGGCCCAAATCCGATTTTTTGCTGATATGTCACTCATATTTATTTATTTTTTTTGTCATGACAGTGTGAACAGCACAAAACACATGGAATCTGATCTTTTCGATTCAGGTTTGGGCCACTTTGGCAACGATCACACTGCGAGCCTTAGTGCTCAATTCCGAATTCCAAATCAGATTTTTTTTTTGTATAGCTGTTCACATTTTTGTTTTAAATGTGGCCAATATCAGATTTCCAGTGTCGAAAGATCATGGTTCTGAACTGACCCGCATGCGCAAAAGAACAACACGAACAGGGTTGCCAGGTTTTCACAACAAAATCTGCCCAAATGCTTCTCAAAACTAGTCCAAAACTAGCCCAGTCGCGTTCCGGGGGGGGTATATATTGCGTTAGTGGGTGCGCTTTAACACACGGAGTTGAAAAACAACCGCGGCAACAGTGAAAAAGTAGCCGCGGGAAAACTGTGGACTTGGCAACACTTACGCAGTGCGCTGTCATATGGTAGTAAACACGGAGGACATAAAGTAAGCGATTATGTGTTTATTTATAGTGTGATCTGCTGCAGAAGCCAGCAAAATTATTCACACGCAATATGAAAAATAAAACTATTTTATTAAAAAATCAGATTTGGGCCACATTTGCCTGCAGTGTGAACGTAGCCTTTTTGGTGCTAAATCCGATTCAGGTCAGATGTTTTGCAATGCAACCTCAGTCTGAATGGTCAAATCGGAATTCATGCGACTTTTACGCCACTATAGATCGACATTTGTCATAATTCTGCTCTGACAGGATTCACTCTAAAGATTTTACATACCGGTAGTTCTTTGTTCACTCTGTGAGTATGACACACAGTTGTGGAGAGACAGTGAGGTGTTTTTTTACGGTGTATTACAGAGACAGCTTAATACAAGCTAAACTTAAGGGGTCGTACTATAAACATTAAAAAACTTTGCTCTCTTTCTCCTCATTTTCATCCTTTTTATCACCTGCTCACAAATTTGCTTGCTTCCGTGGCATATCAGTTATAATTAAACGCAAAAAAGCTTAATTCAGTGGCCTCAGTGTTTATGTTTACTTCCGTATGACAGTGCGCTTCATGCTGTCTTGTTATCGTTTTGCACATGCAGGTCAGTTCCGGACCGTCATTCGTTCACACTGGAATCTGATATTGGCCACAATGGGGTAGGGTTAAGGGATGTAGAATATGGTCATTCAGAATAAGGCATTAATATGTGCTTTATAAGTACTAATAAACAGCCAATATGCTAGTAATATGCATGCTAATAAGCAACTAGTTAATAGTGAGAATTGGTCCCTTGAACTGCCAAGCAAGTTTACTAAAGCAGAAAATCCATGCACATACAGCTGAATATGTGATATCCATATTAAAATATATTGGTTTAGAAATCATGCATTATGGTAAAGGTATTTTAAGGTGATAGCAAAGTATTGTGCAAAGAAGTGGCATGAAAATAAGTCCTTGTTAATTGATTTTCTGGTAATCATAATTTGTGTGAAAAGGAATAACATTTTTTGGTGTTTTACTGCCTCCAGTGTTCAAAATTCAGCTAGAAACTGCACTGCGTTGAACATATAGTTACATATTTGAAGTTTTGCACATGTACATGTCGAGGATTTGCGATGAACCTGTGTTGGTATTACATGGCTTTGAGCTCTTTACTGAAGATTTTTTGAAATCCCTATTAAGAAATGAATAAGAACCAAAGATGGTGAAAAAATGGACGGCAACTGTTATGCTCTTGCTCAGTATTAAATTTCACTTCACTCAGTTTTTTTTTTTTTTTCACAATTGCTTCAAAGTTTCACATAATCAAAGCCTTCAAAGCGTTTACCATATCTCTCTTTCTCTATCACACAAAACTTTAATTGCTTAAAACAGTGTTTCCCATCCCTGTTCCTGGAGGCCCATGAACACTGAATTAAATTAAAGCTCTGTGATCCATTTGCTGTTTATCTGTCTTTTTCTTACATGGCTCCCTGTTTTATACCAAATCAGGTTCCTTCGTGTCCACATGGGTGAAGTACTACTGCATCTATCACCGAGAGCCCAAACGCATGACCATGATGCTGTTTGATCAGAAGTCTGGGGCCAAAAATGTAAGTAGTTCTTTTTTCTCTTTCTCGGTCACATACAATCCCTCTCGTGCCCTTTCACTCAACAGTATGTGTAACCTTTGGATTGGAGAGTGGATGCTGGCACAGGCCACAAGTTTGTTCCCCATGCTGACAAGACTCTGATCTTGGCACGAGAAGCTGCGTATCGCATCGTTAAGCTGGCACCAGTATCGGCACCTGGCTCTGTGCCCGTCTCACTCTCCACTGCCACACACGCAGGGTCAATAGCACGACTCTCGCACCAGGGACTGCATGCGGCCTGATTACATTCCGACCACACACTACCACCCCTCTGGTAAAGTCAAGTCAAGTCACCTTTATTTATATAGCGCTTTTAACAATACAGATTGTGTTAAAGCAACTGAACAGCATTAATTAGGAAAATAGTGTGTCAATAATGCAAAATGACAATAGTAAACACTAATTTTTCAGTTAAAGGCAGTTCATCATTGAATTCAGTGATGTCATCATCAGTTCAGTTTAAATAGTATCTTTGCAATAATTTGCAATCAAGTCAACGATATCGCTGGAAATGAAGTGTCAAAGAAACCTGGGCTTCCATACCACCTCAGCAGTGCCACAAACTGATCACCTCCATGCCACGCCGAAT